TCCATGCCGACCTACCCGCTACGTAGTCAAGCGTTGTCGTTCCGTCAGCTGTGAGCCCGTTTCCTACCCATCTGCCTCCTGTCAACCTTTCTGCGGCCGTCCGGGGTCTTCTGCATCTGCCATCTGCAAACCAACTTGCCCGCGGACTTTCTACATACCCAGTTCCAGCAAACAGCCTTGCAGTACCTCGGTTTCCTACCGCCCGATTTGCCGCCCAATCTGCCGCCCAGTCTGCTCTGGCCCCATCACCTACAGGCAGCCGTACCTGACCTCCGTCTCCTACCGTCCCGCCTGCTACCGCAGGTGCTACTCCGTCCTGCGCCGCCCGGTCTGCGTCACGTCCTACTCTTACCGCCCTGTCCGCTCCCGCCCGCCTTGCGCTGAGTCCTACCTCTGCAAACGGGATTGCAGAAAGTCCTCTTCCAGCCAGCCGGATTGTGCTGGCTCAACCCCTTGCAAGACGGAGGGCTCAGAGGAGTGTCCCTGCCAGCCTACTGCGGCCAAACTGCTCCCGCCCGCCTTGCGCTGAGTCCTACCTCTGCAAACGGGATTGCAGAAAGTCCTCTTCCAGCCAGCCGGATTGTGCTGACTCAACCCCTTGCAAGACGGAGGGCTCAGAGGAGTGTCCCTGCCAGCCTACTGCGGCCAAACCCACCAGCCCCACGACGCGTGAAGCCGCAGCCGCTCAGCCTGCTGCGGGCACGCCTGCCAACTGCTGACCTGGCTTCAGCCCACCAGCTCCTGCAAGGCAAGTCGCTGGCTAGAGAGAGGGCTTGGCTGCCCTCCCCGAAGCTGGTTGTGACTTAGCTAGAATCTTTTTCTGTCTGCACTGTTATTCACCATCCGCTCATGCTTCCCAGAAGTCACCAGAAATGTTGGTATCTTAATGGTCCAAACGAAGACCTCCTGGTCACCGAGAGGGGATATTCTGGGTTCCTGTCTTCTGCTGCCATGAAGCTAAGAAGAGCTGCTTTGCTAAGTTATCTCAACTCTCTTTCCTGACATAATTTTTATTCTGTCCTTGTGCATGTGCCCCTTGCTGTGTGTGCTTGTGTTCCTTGGGGGCTTCTTTGATGAGATAAAATACTTAACTGTCCAATAAAAGTAGCTAAATTAAAGTGACATGCTGTTCTCATGGCTCTTCTGTTAATGCTGTATTCTCATCCGTGACTTGCTTTATCGGTGTCACCAGCTCCATCCAGACATTCATCCATCTGTGCGTCCATCCATCCAACAAGTGTAAATGGGATAGCTGTTAGGTGCCGGGCACTGTGTTAGGCTCTAGGAATGAAAAGACAAACGTCTCAGTCTCTGCTCTCAAGGAGCTCACTCTCTGGTGGGCAGACAGACAGGGCAAAAGACAATTACTACATTCCTTTGTGCTAAGTACTGGGGTAGAGGCATGCACAGGGCTCTGTGAACTCAGCAGGGCATGGGAGGAACCAGGGATGGATTGTTGGGCAATGTGATACTGAAGGTGAGTCTTTCAGAACAAGCAGGAATTAACCAGCTACAAACAGGGAAGGAAGAGCTTTCAAGGCGGTGGAAACACGTACAAGTGAATGGGGCTTGCAAGCAAACTGTTCATTAGCTGAGGCTTGGGCAGAGTTGTCCTTAGAGGTGAGCCCTGATATCAGGTAGGTAGAGAGTGACCTGCCCACGTTGGGTCTTGCATGCTAGGCTGAGACATTTGGATTTGGTGCAGGGCTGACAAGAAGGCACTGAGGGGCTGTAAGCACTGACACGAAGAGCACTGGAGTTTGGAACATTCCCCTGGCCTTGGTGTGAGAACTCAATAGAAGAACATAGTCCAAGATTAGAAATACTGGGGAGGAAGCCAATGGATTTGGGGTCCACAGTGGGATGAAAACAACAAGTGGGGATCATATCTACAACAAAGAAGGGTGGGTAACTTGGGTTTCTTGTGCAAGAACTTTCCTTAGGTTCTCCTAGTACCTGTAAGACACATTCTTTTTATAAACTCCACATATATTCTCTTAAAATTTCCAAGGACAGAGTCTCTTCAAAGCAGTTACCTCCTAACTTAGTGCATAGAATGGAGGGCTATTTCTTGTCCTCAAGGTGCAGCATGAGCCATCAGAAGCACCAGAGGGAGTACACCAGTGTTTCTCAACTTTGGCACTATTGACATTTTGGGTTGGATAATTCTTTGATGTGGGGGCTATCCCATGCAATGTAGGATGTTAAGCTGCATCCCTGGCCTGTACCAACTAGATGCCAGTAGCACCCCCGAGTGGGTTGACTAAAAATGTTTCTAGACATTGCCAAGCATCCCCTGGGGGTTCAAAAATCACCCCTGTTTGAGAACCACTGGGCTAGACAATGGCAGTAGGAGAAAGTAAAAAATGAAATGTCCTGCACATTGATGCTGGAGTTACTGTCTCATCAGGCCATTGGGATTTATCTCTGTCTCCTTTAGAGTTAAGAGAGGAGTTGGCCAGAGTTTTAGATCTCTATGCCAAGCACTAGACGTAGTGTTTCATGTAAATCACAGCAATTCTGAGAAGTGAGATTTCTTCTCTCCTATTTTCTTCACTATTATAAGATAAAGAATCTGAAGGACAAATAATGCAAGTGCCCATCAATAGACAAGTAAATTATTGTGTATTCACACAATGAAATATTTTACTGCAGTGGAAATGACTGGACAATGGCTACATGCAACAATATGGGTGAGCCTACTAACATGATGTTGACTGATATAAACAAGCCCCCAAAGACCACATGCATGTGTGCAGACGCACACACACGGGGATACATGCACATATATACACACATATACATAGATAATAAAAAATTCAGTATAGTCACAGCTAGTACGTAACATACACATGTCTAAACTCAGTTCTGTCCAAAACCTGTGTTTTTATGGATCATCATATTTCTTGATTGTCATAACAGCCCTTGGTGATACCCTAGATGTCTTTATGCCTTGAACCACAGCAAAATGGATGTTCTCTATATCGAGAGGGTTCTTTAAGAGGAAAGGAAACAAAAGCATAATCACTGGAAGATGGATGCGAAAATGGATTGCTTTAAAACTACAAAAGTGGTGTGGCGTTTTACTATAAAAGTAAAGCCCAGGGCCGGCCCGGTGGCGCACTGCTACAGTGCGCCGCTTGGGAGCGCGGCGGCGCTCCTACCTATTTGGTAAGGCCAAAAGTATTTCCTTTTGAGGGATGAAGAGCTTTGGAGTGTAAACATTCAGGAATAAAACATAATGCAAGTATCCCTATAATTTGAAAGATGCCAAGTTAACAGACATGAGATGAAAGGCAAAAGAAACGATCTTTGGTGTTACATAAAAACCCATGGCAGAAAAAAAGGCATTTTAATAACAAGAGTGAGGATTTTCCAGACATTGCTCTTATCAGAAAAATCTCTTTCTTTTAAAGTGAGGATGAGGAGGGTGCTAAGGAAAAGTATTTTGTAGCTAGTACTTTGCAAAGTACCCTTCAGCATTTCCAGCATTTTCAATAATTTGTGAGACAGCCAAAAAAGAACAAAGGTAACTAAGAAACAGCAATGCAGTTGATGAAATCGCAGTACTTGAAGACGTGGGTAATTAGCTAACATGTCCAAGAGAGTGAATTAGTAGCACAGCCAGCAGTCAAGACCAGCCCTGTCTGGCTCCCCAGACCATGATCTTTCCATTGCATCGTGCACCTCCAGCATGAACCAGGCCAGTGCAGGGACTGGTGCGGGATGCTGAAATTAGATGGTGATGCAGGAGCCCAGACAAGCCCAGACGAAAGGCAGCAGGGTCAGGAAAGTCCCTCACGAATTCCTCTTGGAAGGGGTTTGTTTAACACTAAAAATCACCTCGCAGTGATGTCCTTATGTCACTTCCGTGGTTGTGTTTTTCTGTTTGTAGAATTCACATGTTGTTGACTCCATACTATGAGTTTAATCCCACTTGACAGAATATTTTTCAGTTTTAAAAATTTCCAAATTAAAAGCTTGTTTTTGGGTGTATTGATAAGCAGAGGTAAGTACTCATGCCCGTTTGATCTAGCTGATGATTACCCTGGAGTGGACAGATGTTCCTCAGGATGGGGCCTGTGCAACCTGCTCAAGAGGCAGCATGTCGCTGTACAAATTTCAGCCTTCGCCACCATATTAGAGTCCCCCTTTCCTATCCTCCCAAAGGCAGGAGGTCTAATAGGCGGTTAAGATCAGAGGTTTTGGGGTCAGCCAAATCTAGGCTTGAATCTTTTTTATTCCTTATCACTTGCATAATTTTGAGAAATGAGTTAAACTCTCTGAGTTACTTTTACCACTTCTAACATAGTGATGAAAATTATACTTGCTAACTAAGACTACTGCAAGGATTCAATCGAAAATACAGTCAAGGGCTCGGCACACGCTAAGCATGTAATAAATGGAAGCTATTACTATTGTTAGCAGTAGTCGTAGTACTAGTAAAGTTATGTTTCAGGAAAGCCAAATGGGAAGGTTTGAGAAAGAGGTGGAGACACTTAGAGTGTCCTTGGGTTCCGCTAATTTTCCATTCCCCATCTCTGACACCCCCTCCCCTTGCTGGGCCAGAGCTTCATTTCCTGATGGTCTGAATGGTGCTGAACCGTATTCCTGGAGGAAGAGCACGGCTGCTTCGGCTTGGCAGAGGCCTCCTGATGAGAAGTTAGTGCGGGAAGGGCCTGCTTCAGTGAGGCTGTGAGACAACCTGTAAAAGAGACAGCTCCTCCCAGAGCAGGAGCAGTGTCAATGAATCCAAATTCATCAAAGAAAACTCTCAGCTCAACAGACATGTTTTTAAAGTGGGGACAAGATCTCCCAGGCTCCTGAAGCCTGCTAATCAGATGTTTGCATGCAAATGAGTAAAAACAATAACAAGGAAAGATGCTGTATGTCGTGCCGACACGACTACTGAGGGACTATAAAAGCCCCTATGCATTAGATGTCTTTCAAACTCAGGTATACTGAGTTTGCAACTTCCCAGCAAGGTCAACACCAGCACCATGGTGGACAGGTGTTGTCCTGGCAATGCCACTGCCATTCCTGCTGTGCTCACCATCTCCACATGCCCAAATGGTGGCAGCTTCCAAAATGTTATCTGTTTGCCCAGTTCCTGCCAGAGGAGAACTTAGCAACTGGTCACATGCCATGAAAACTGTCAGCCATCCAGCAGTGCTCCAGGTGGCTGTGAACCTACTTCTTGTCAACCTTCCTGCCTTCCAGCAACTTCTTCTGTGGGTTTTGTTTACCAGCCCATATGTTCTCACACGGCCTGCTATGAATCCAGCTCTGGCCAGTCTCCTTGTCTGGTTAGTTCATGCCAGCCATCCTGCTCGGAATCCACCAGTTGTCAGGCAAAGTGCTGTGATGACAGCCCCTGCCAACAAAGTTCCTGCTGGGAGCCTGTCTGCATGTCGGGATCACACCAGGAAGCTTGTGGCCAATCAGTCTGATGTGATGCTGGATACTGCCAGCCATCCTGCTCTGAAGTAACTTCTTGTCCTGAAACATCTTGCCCACCAATTAACTGTGCAGCTAGTCCGTGTCAACCTGCTTGCTGCCAAGGAGGTTCATGTCAACCCATCAGTGGTGAAGGTCATCACTGTAAATCAACTTGTTCTCAACCAATCTGGCACATTTTCAAGCCTTGCCAATCAGTTCCTTGCATTCCCGTTCCCCGCCAGCCATCAACTTGTGTGTTCAGTTCTTGCAGTCCTACTTGCTCTGTGCTCTCCCCTTGCCAGCCACTTCACTGCCAGCCAGCTCCTTCCATATCCTTCATCTGCTAGCCAGTGGCTAACTGCCAGTCCCCTTGTTCTGCAAAGAACTCTTGCAAACGAGCTTCCTATGGCACCCTGCTTTCTAGCCAATCAACTTGTGGTGGACCCACTTCCTACAGCCAAAGTGGCTGCAAATCTTCTTCCTGCCAGCCAGCTTGCTGTGTGACAGGTTTAGGCAAATCATCCAGTGGTGACTCCAATTGCTTCCAACCAGCTTCCCCAAGTCTCTGCAAAGCAAACACCTTCTTGCCAACTTCCTGTGAACCCAGCTGTGAGTACAGCTCCCATAAGGCGATACTTTTTTGATGGAACACTCTTCACACCTCCTCTGAGGATTTGCTGTTGTCTACAAATGCACAGGCATGCTACAGATGCCTGCTTCCGGCCAAGCACAAATGCTGCCTGCTTTCTTACTTTACTCCGAGTTCAGCCCCACATTCTCTGTAGGTGCTGAAGAGAGAACTTGTCCAGCTACTAGGAGATATCCTTTTAAACCTAGGATAACCTTCCAGCAAGCATGGTCCACACTGTAGCTTGCATTTCCTGATATTGTCAGTTCATTTCACTTCAGCAAAACTTTCTCTCCAGTTTTTCTTTCTTCTGATGCTAGGCAGACTCCTTTGCTGCCAACTACTGATGAAAATGTGACTGGTTAAGGATAATGAATAAGACTCTCAGGGTGCTTTTATACCTTTAAGTACACCCTTCACAGATTTCCTTCAGGTCACATTTGAATGCAAAGATCGTGGGTCCTCTAAGTCAGTGGGTCTGCAGTGGTCTGCAGGGATAGCAGGTGGCTCAGATTATAGTTGCTTAAGCTGGAAAAGAGTAAGGACAAACAGTTCACTGGCTTCCAAACTTTTCATCACCAAGAGCTCTTACGAGCTGAGTGGTCTCAGTTTACCCATGGTTAGTAGACTTGGGAAGCCAAAGAAAGAAGTGGTTCAGGGAAACCATAGATTAAAATAAACATGAGATATTGGCTATCGGGAATAGCTTAGAGTTTATTCACTCAACTCTGGTTTTAATGATCAATTCAGCTAATGGCCAATTTATTTTTATTTATTTATTTATTTATTCTTTTTTTTAAAAAATTTTATTTTGTCGATATCCATTGTGGTTGATTATTGTTGCCCCTTACCAAAACCTCCCTCCCTCCTCCCTCTCCCCCCTATATTCTTTTTTTTAAAATTTTATTTTGTCGATATCCATTGTGGTTGATTATTGTTGCCCCTTACCAAAACCTCCCTCCCTCCTCCCTCTCCTCTCTCCTACCCAACAATGTCCTTTCTGTTTGCTTGTCGTAACAACTTCAAGTAATTGTAGTTGTTATGTCTTCTTCCCCCCAACCCACCTGGGTTTTTTTTTTTTTTTTTTTTTGTGTGTGTGTGTGTGTGTGAATTTATTTATAATGCTCTAATAGGCCGCCTATTACACCATTACAGCAGTCACAGTCAAATGGCCGTTGGGATGTCACGGCATTTGTTTTGTTTAGCACCTCATCACAATTACGAACCATGGATTACTTGCATCTCATGTCCCATCAGCAAGAATCTCAGCACTGTGCCCAAGCACAGGGGCATGACCAGGTCCATCCCCAAGTCCTACCTTTGTAGATCTATTTCCTGGGATCACTCCAAGCTCCAATTCTTTATCAGTCAAAGTCCAATCAGGAGGGAGACAAAAATCACATATTAATTTGTACAGGGAATTTTTAATATAAAGAATTATTAACTATTACAGGGGATTGAGGTAAAGGGGAATTAGCTTGTAAGAGGTAATGAGCATCCTAAAAAATAAGAATAGCAGATATTAGAATTAGCATTAGTCACTGCTTCTAGGTCTGAGATAGAAAAAGAACCCAAGGAAGAGAATTCCCTACCCTCACCCCCAGGCTGAAATCTAGACTTTGCTGGAGTAGCAGAGTTGTGGCTTGCTGGATGGTGGATAAGTTTGCTGAGATGCCACGCTGGTGGAGTTGCTGGAAATTTGCCCTCTGAGGTGTTGGGGGAAGCCACCCATGGGGAGGTGCCATGTGCTGTTGGGTGCTGGGCACTTCTGGCCAATTCATGCAGCAGAATCCAGGTACTGAAGAAGTTGTGAGATGCAGTGTCCAGGTGCTGCAGAATCTTCAGGCATTGCAGGAATCAGGCACTGCAGAAGTCTCCATGCTGTAGGAGCTTTATGCTGCAGAAGCCACCTGCATTACAACAGCTGGGCACAGCTGAATCCACCTGTGCTACCTGTGCCTGGTGGAGCACACTGAAACCAGGAGAAGAAACACTTTCTTACTTCAGTGTCTCTCCAGTGCTTTCTATTGACAAAGCTTAACAATGCATCAGCTGACAAAGGAGAAATATTTGTACGGTCCATCTATATTATCATAGAGCAGGCAATGAAGGGTATATTTGCAGGGGAGCAGCAATACATTGATCACTGGGACACAGATTTTCATAGTTCTTATTTTTCTGTCCATTATGTGTACTTTGTACCTATAGAGAAAGAATTAATGGTTAGATCACCAATTTTAGGGTCCTGAGGGTCATAATCATGATAAAAGTATCTGAATAAAAAAGAGTAGAATGACAATAGAGAAAAATTTAGTGCCTGAGCACGGAAGGGGCCAGATAGAGGGTTTCTACTGGTAGTTGCATTGACTAATGTCAGAATTGGTAATTCTGCTTCTCTGATCCCAAGATATAGGTTGGCTTATCATTTATTCAATCCAAGTATCTTGCTCTGTTCTAGTCTTCTGATAAGTATTGTCCTTTTTTTTTTTTTTTTTACTCTTTTTGTCTTTTTTCGTGACCGGTAACAGGATCGCAACCCTCAGTGTTGCGCCCCTACCGCAACCGGCAACGGGATCGCAACCGGCAATGGGATCGCAACCCTCAGTGTCACACCTGCACCACGCTCAACCAGTGAGCGGACCGGTCTCTATATGGGATCCAAACCCTCGGCCCGCAACCGGCAACGGGATCGCAACCGGCAATGGGATCGCAACCCTCAGTGTCACACCTGCACCACGCTCAACCAGTGAGTGGACTGGTCTCTATATGGGATCCAAACCCTCGGCGGGAGTGCCGCTGTGCTCCCAAGCGCCGCACTCTACCGAGTGCGCCACCGGGCCGGCCCAGGTATTGTCCTTTTAATTCCAACTGGGAAACGGTGTTGCCTTCATTACTGCCCTCCTCCCCCCACGTGCACACATGCACACACATATACACACTCCACATTTAGATTTAGTTGTACGGCAATACTCAAGGTTGATTTATTTGTTCTCTAATCAACAATTGGCTTGAAACAGATGCTTATAAAACATGCCTAATCAAACCTGAGTGAAGATCAACTAAAAGTTTGATTTTAGCACACTGGCCGTCAGCATTAAATTGGTCCAGCTGATCCCATCCTTTATCCCCACTCCCACTCCTGCCCTTTGATGACTCCTGCCCAGTTTGGGTGATTGGGCCTCTGTCCTTGTGCTCTTTAGGACTAGTTCTCTGACTTGCTCCCAGATTGGATTATTGGTCCTTCTCCCCAGCCCAGGGACACTGACCCTATGATCTGCTCATATACTTAACAGGTACTCACTGACAGAACATCATCTGTTCCAGACCTCTCAACCACTGTGGTCCATGGTCCCCCATAGTCAAATATGTCTTGCCAATATGTATGGGACATTCTGAGAAAAACATTACACATGAAAGGAAACTAACCAAAGGAACCCTGAAACAATGAGACCTGAAGATCCGCACAGTGTGTTACAGGCTGCTGGCACCTCAATAGAAGGGAGGGGCATGATGTCAGGTGTGGAGGATAGACTTCTGTGCAGTGATAACTTCCTCTGAAACTGGTAGGTTTTCCTATTCAGGTGCCTCTATGTACTGAAGCCATCCATGCCTTTTGCACCGAGAGTGATCTTTTCTTTGTTTCTGTTTATCATTCCACACAGACTCTTCATTTTTGGCAATTCCTTTGCAGGGAGAATAGGACTTGCTGGTGGGACAGGTGCCTGCTGTATTCAATTAATTTGCCAGTGAGAAAAGCATTCATCAAATGGCGCAGGAGACGTTTCTGTCTCTAGTTCTAAACTTCACAGATGATCTCATTGCTTAGCACGGGGCAAGACTGTGGGTAAACAGCCTTATGATCTGCTTGGAAATGCAAACCAGAGGAGGACTTCTATGGTGATGACGGGAGAAGAGCCCTGGCCAATGGTTCAATGGAGAAGGCTTGAGCATAGATGGATCTTAAAAATATTCTGCTTAGTGACAAAACTGAATGAGATATATTGCACATTGCCGTTTACATAAACCAAAGTACATGTGTACCAAACAATGATAAACACTTTGTAAGAATGCATGCAAATGAATGCATTAAACAGGGTAGAATAGCTGCCTATGGAAAAAGAATGGGCATAGAGAGAACAGGAATTAAATTAACCGATAAGTACATAAAGAAAAAAATAAATAAGAGAGGGACCTTGCAAACACAAAAGATGATAATGTCTCATAAAATAAGGAATACGATTGACTCAAGTATTTGCAACTGAGATCTCAAATAAAAATTAAAAAAAGGAAGATGGGGTGGGGGAGGTAGAGAGAGAGAGAGAGAGAGAGAGAGAGAGAGAGAGAGAGAGAGAGAGAGAGAGAGCTTGACATCACAAAGGAATTACCATGGATGGAATGTCTTCCGGAAATGACGTTTTGATGGGTACCCTGTTCAAGTTCTCTCTCCCGCATCTTCTATGGAGATTTCAGTCATGTGAAGTGGGATGCCTCTTGACTCAGCATTGCACCAAGTTCTCAACAGTGTTCCTTGCATTCCGACTGAGTGCAGGCGTTGTGTAAGGAATTACATCCCCGTAAATAATTTGTTTTTTTCATAGCAGAATTCTCAACATACCTGAAATTTAAAATTTTATTTTGTAATAGTTTTTTGACCCAAGTCTATTTTATTCGTTTTATTGCTCCAGTTATAGATTTCTCAGTTTTATAGGCAAATGTTTTTATTGGCCATCTGCCAACATGCAAACTTCACATTCTAAATATGTCAGGTGTGAAATGTGGATTGGGAAGTTTTGCATCTTTTCCAATGCTTGGGAACAGTTCAAATAACATAGCATTTATTTGCTCCTTTTAGGTCTGCTAGAACTTGCCCATAAAACATCTGAACCTCCTATTATAAACAATGTTCTGCTGAGCCTGAACATGCTTATAACTAACATTTACCAACATTAATGTGCAGGGCACAGGAGTAATTTTAAAAATACAGGGAAATTTTGAGAAAAAATATTATAAACACCC